CACACCACCCCCATCTCAGCTCTGCCATAGTAATCAGAAAGCACAACCAGTGTTTTCTCATACTGAAAGCCAGCCTGAAACCCAACTGAAGTGAGTCTAGATAATCTGTTTCCTCTGGGGTCCTCTGGAACTGAAGTCTGATCACCCTCTCCACAACCTTACCCAGAAAAGGAGGGTTGGAGACTAGATGAAAATTGTCCAGGATTCTTGGGTCAAGTGAGAGGCTTTCCTGAGGAGAGGGCAAACCACAGCCTTCTACAAGGCTGAGAGAACTGCCCCCTCTCTCAAGGAAGTAAACACCATCAGAAGGGTCTAATCATATTTCACCTCCCAGGGGATCTTGACCATCCATGAGGGACCTGGATCTAACAAACACGTGACTGAGCTCACAGACTAGAGAATCTTACCACTTCCCTAGGAGTCAGAATCAAACTCACTCCAGGGAACCCTACAAGGCCTTGCCTTGGGTACCTCAAGTGGACCTGTCCAGCTGGAATCCAACTCTTAAGTGGACCCGAGTGACTTTTTGCCAAACAGCATGAATATTCCTCACAGAATATTCTGCCCCTCTCCAGGAGCCCCTTTAAACAGGGCTCCAGATGGCTAATGGCATACACAATCAGAGCAGAGAAATAATTTTGTTTTGCCAGCCTTATTGCCACCATGTACTACTCGTGATTGGCAAGATTGGCTCTTTGATTTCTTCCAACAGCACTCTAGGCATTTCTTCTTGCCTTTTGCCATTGCCATCTACCAGGAGGTTTCTTCAGTCTCCCTATCTAATCTATTATTTTTGGATTTCCTGGCATTCTTCCGTCTAAGCATTAACCAAGTCTGTTTAGCTTCTTTTGAGATCAGACACAGTGAAATTGCAGATTGCGGATTAGACCGGGAAGTCAAGAGCAAACCAGTTCTGTACTGTTGTCAAGTAAGCTGCAAAGGCATGTACATGTAATCACCAGGAGTTAGCTCAGTTTGAACACCATTCCACCATTTTAAACTTTAATAATTCCTAAAAATGTGATTTCTCTAGTTATATACTAAAAAAAGTAGTTGTAAATTAATTAGCACAATTTCAAAGAAAAGCAGCCCATTCGCCTTTGTTTGTTTGTAAATGATTTATTCCACTTTTAATAGAGGAAGAAAACAAAATATGTATGTACAAAAGATACTGATGTGCCATTTGATACAATGACCATTTAAAAAAAAAATCACATTCTAAAACATTTAAAACACAGTACAATAGTTCTGACTCATTGGAAGCCTTAATAAAAATTTACCCACAACTGTAAAATACTAGGATTTATCTATCTATCTA